TGAGCTATGTTATGTATCAGGTTTCAAAAGACTCCTAAAGAAAGCTTGAAAATACTTCTACGTAGTCAAGACAACTCAAGGACTCAGTCTGCTCTGTAGGTAAATAAATATGGCATTAGCTAATGCTTTAAATTAACATGCATTAAATTTCCTGAGATGGTTCTTTGAAACACAAGTCTTCTGGCTGGCAGACAATACTAACAACCTGAATTTTCAACCAACTGAAATTATAAATCATTCAGTGGCTTACTTGAATTACATTCTATAGACCTAAACAGGGAAATTTAGCTATTGTTTAGGATCAAATAATTATAATTCCAAATGCCATAGATTTTCAGATATTATGTGTGGTGATGATAAGAGCTAGCTAGCCCTCTTTATAATTCGTTTTCAAAGTATAAAGTTGTACATTGGGTATAAATAATATGAGATCATAGGTCTAGCATGGGTTTCTACATTCTCTAGCCTCTGTTCATATCTCTGTGGTTAACGAATTAAAATTCAAGTTTCCCTGAAAAAATTATTTAAACATTTTCTGTTTATGTATGTATTCATTTATATATAAATATTTATTTTACAGAAATGCACATACATATAAAATCAGTCATCTTGAGACCTGGAACTACTATGGAACACAATATCTAATTAACGACAGCAGGTAAAACACCAAGTCCTGTTAGGTCCACAGAGAGCTTTACGGAAATAAACTGTTTCTCTATATTAGTACCAAGACAGTGTTTCTGCTATTGGAAGGAGAGCTATATATGTGAAGGAATAAGAAAAGCAAGAGAAATGAATAAGGGAAACTTTAAAAGATCTCAGGAAAACAGAAAAACACCTGATAGATTACTAGATGCTGAAAGACACTTAAGAACATAAAAACTTCAGTGGGAAAGGAGGTAGTAGAACAACTAGATAAGTCTGCTTCATTATAGAATCATAAAGGTTGGAAAAGACTTTAAGATCATAAGAGGGACGTGGATCTGTTGGAGCCTGTTCAGAGGAGGGCCACAAGGATGATCCAGGGGCTGGAGCACCTCTGCTACGAGGACAGGCTGCGGGAGCTGGGATTGTTCAGTCTGGAAAAGAGAAGACTTTGGGGGGACCTAATAGCTGCCTTCCAATACCTGAAGGGAACCTACAGAAAGGCTGGGGAGGGACTTTTTGCAAGAGTGTCCACTGATAGGACATGGGGAAATGGGTTTAAGTTGAAGGAGAATAGATTTAGATTGGACCTTAGGAAGAAATTCTTCAATATGAGGGCGGCAAGACTTTGGAATAAATTGCCCAGAGATGTTGTGGCTGCCCCCTCCCTGGAGGTGTTCAAGGCCAAATTGGACCGAGCCTTGAGTAGCCTGATCTAGTTGAGAGGTGTCGTGCCCATGACAGGGAGGTTGGATTAGAAGATCTCTAAGGTCCCTTCCAGGCTAGGCCATTCTGTGATTCTATGATCATCAAGTCTAACCCACACTGCTGTAACACTAAAACATCTCCTGAAGTGCCACATCCAATCATTTTTATCTACAGCATTATCCAAGTATTACCTGCAGGTAAATAAATCCTGCCCATAAAAAAAAGAAAAAAAGCCAAAATCAAGCCACCACCAAGAACTCAAAAAGAACATGGACAACAGCAATCCAATTTATATAGTCTACTTGGATTTTAAAGTAATATCTGAAGAAGTCATTCGACAAAAGCTATTAATTAAGCAGTAATGAGGTAAGATGCAAGGTCCAGGCACAGACAAACAGGTAATCAAAAAGAAAAAGATGGCAGGAACAAACCAACTGTTCCAGTCTGAAGGGAGATTATGCAAATTCACAAAGACTGTGATGGTAAGCAAAACTCAGAAGTCATCTAGAATAGAGAACAAGTGACAAGATGATCAAGTTTGCTCTGTACAGAGATACTCAATGTAGTCTAACAAGAGCTGGCAAAGATGAACTGACAAAACGATCATATGGGACTGAGTGACTAACAAAGTTAAACAGAGGCAAGTGCACAGTGAGGTTCATGGTGGAAAGCAACCTTAAAACCTATAGAAAACGACGGACACCAGGGTAAGTAGCATTAGTCAAAATTTTGAATTTATGACAGATATTTTCATTAAAGTATCAGTTCAGCACATGAAGTAGTTAAAAGTGGAATAAAGTAATTAAGAAAGGAAGACAGAATAAAACAGAAAACATTACTACAGAATCATCTGGTCAGAAGGGACTGATGGCAGTCTTTTGTCAAACCTCCCTCTCAAAGCAGGTCACCTATAAGCTCAGACCATGGTGCTCAGGGCTTTTTCAAGGCATGTCTTCAGAGTTTTCAAGGTTCACACCAGCCCCTCCCCAGCCTCTCCAGGCAACCTCCACTGTCTGCCTGTCCTCAAGGGGAAAAATGCCTCTTACAACCAGGCTGAACTCTTATCCCAACTCGCATTGTTTCTCATCCTCTCAAGACGCACTGCTGTAAACAGCCTGGCCCTGTCTTCTCAGTGGTTAGCTAATGCAGATCACCCCACAGCTTTCCAGGCTGACTTTTTGGCCTGTCTGCGGTGAGAAACCTCCTTCATTCTCCATGATCTTTCAAAGATGATAGAGAGTGGCCTTGCTAAGACTTTCCTCCCATTCTCTCAGCATCATTGGAGGCAACTCAGTGGGTCCTGTGGACTTAAATGGGTGAAGTTTCCTCAAATAATTTCTGCCTCAATCCTTAACCATTGCTCAGAGTTCCTATCCCCCAACTAGTTCTTCCATTTTAGGGAACAGTAGATCCAATTATGCATCGCCCCTTAGCTGGCCCATCAGTACACATATCAAGAATTCATCCCAGATGCAAACTATCTAGATTTCTGGAGAGTTTGTGTCCTGTTGTGTTGGACTTCTAGGAAGTGTCAGGATGTTAATAAAGTCCCCCATGGAAACCACAGACTCTTATCCAGGGACTTCCTTGCCTTTAAATAAAGTTTTGTTCACATCCTAATCCTGAGGAGGGCGGTCTGTAATAGGTTAATCAGGGTGGTACCTTTATCAGCCTCTCCTCTGATCCTGACCCCTAAACTCTCCTCTTAAACTGTCCTTTTGTCCCCAACAAGCACCATATACATTTGAGCTGCTCCTTCACAAGGAAAGCAATGCATGTCCTTGTGAAGGCTACTCGTCTTTCCTGAAAAGCCTGTATCTGCACATCTTACAACCTCACAATTCATAGCCCATTCACACCTTGAGAGTTTCCCTGGTCCCCTATGTTACTAAAGCTAGAAAAGATCTGGAGAACTGCAATGAGGTGGACCAGAGGTTGGAATAGATTCTACACAGGCAACAGCTAAGCAGACAGCTTGGGGGGAAAAAAAAAAAGAGACCAACCTGTTGAAAAGAAAGGATGACAGCAGCCCACAGAACAATCAACTATTAACTGTCTTATCTGCTAGGAGACCATCAGACAAAGCTAGTGGGAGTCAGGTTCAAAAAAACCCAACAAAACCAAAGCGGTTCTTCATGCAATAGGGAGCTATGGATTTTCCATCTAAAGAACCCTATGGGTGCAAGAAGTTTGCAAAGTTAAATGGAGACTAGTATATAAAAGAGGACTGCTGGGGATTACCAACTAAACAAAGTGCAAAGGATTAAGAAAATCCCCCAAGATGAAAGCAGTTGCAGGCTTGGGAGTATTTTAACAGAGCAGTATCACGTGTATTTTTTGTATTCCTCTGCAGGCATCCATTTGAGGAAATTGCTAGGCAGAACGTTGATCTAAATGGACTGAGTCTGAAGTACAACAGCCATCAGTATGAAAGTAACAACATTAGTTTATCTGAAATGCTTCAGCCTGACAGTAATTTGTTAAAAATGGGTACTAAATGTTTTATGTGATTCCTTTCAAAATGTCAAACTATGAAAAGTTACAATGTGCTGAATTTGCTTCTTGTAGAATAAATTTCCCCCTATTGTATTACGGTTTCACCTACATTTTTCTGTGGGTTTGGATGCTTTTAAATATATCTACAGATCATTTACAAAACATACACAGATTTAGCAATCACTTCTAAAAAAAACCCACCTCATAAGAGATGGATTCATAAAGTTTATATATAGTGAATTACTCATATTAGAATTATATCTGACTAGTCAAGTGGCAGTGTCTGTACTCAATTCCCTATTGATCCTATCTTTATTTTCAAGATATGTAGGTTTTAATTAAGCTACATATGCACAAAACCAGACTAAGAGCTCACATATTTGCTGTAGGGGGCCGATTAGCTCAGTCAGTAGAGCATAGCACTAACAACGCTAAGGTCGCGGGTTCAATTCCCGTTCGGTCCCCATTTGTTGCCTGATCTAGTCGAGAGGTGGCGTCCTTGGTGGCAGCGAGGCTGGATTAAAATGACCTCTAAGGTCCCTTCCAGCTTAGGCCATTCTATAATTCTATGATTCTACCAGGTGAAACAACCCAAAACAGATACAACTGGATGTGTACGACCTTCGCTTTCCTTCTCTATCTGTTATTCCTTCTTTTAACCTACTCAGCTATTTCCTTGTAGCTAATTCTAATAAGCACTCCATTATTGAGGGTATCTCATTTCCTCTATCTACCCCCATTGACGGCCACCCCTTTTCAGTTATTTGCATGTGCTCTTTTTAATATAAGAAGTCTGTTCCTCATCTGTAATCCAATTTTCACATTTTTAGGCATCCACAATTGTCGCTGATGTCAGCATGAGCTGCAGACACCCAGGATCTTCAGAGAGTCAACTCCTTGTCTTTGACAACTTGTTAATAAGAAGTATTTTGAAGTTTCACTTAGTTATGCTACAGTAGTTTCTACACTTCAATCAGACTTATGGATGAACATGTTAAGAGATGCAATAAATAAGTAATGCTCAAAAACATCTCATGCAGTGGCCTAATCTTCCCAGGAAAACAGGTAGAGTTAACTTAAGTTACCCACTTAACTCGCCTCGCAATAAAGACAATGAAGAGTATACACAGCTAATCGAAGAGGGTGCTTACCTGAATGACAGCACTAAACCAGCATGTGTTGCCAACATTCTTTAGTCCTACTGGACAGTTGTCTTGCCGCTTTCGATCATAAGGGTTTGGAGAGTCACTCCATACCTCTGGATGTGTCCTCTTTAAACTTGCTTTATTTTCTGCAATACTGGCTTCTAGAACTCTTTGGGAACAGAAGGGAGGGAAAAGAAGTCAGAAAAAGCAACAACAACGAAAAAGACATAGTAAAACACCTTCAGTTACTAATACAGGCATCTTAATTCCATCATTTGCTAACTTACTGTTGCTGAGCTTGGTTTTTCGTGTTTTGCTTTGTTTTTTTTTTTAATTTACATGCAGTATGTCTTAAAAAGTTAGATGCTATTTATTTTTAGATATGTTACAGTAATTCCATTATCTTTTGGAAAATGGTATCAGTAAATGAGTGAATCTCCTGTGAGAGCTCTAGATACAAGAGCCATATCTCTGTAAGTCATCACTTATTTATGAACCAAATTCAAACAGGATGGACAAGAAATTTTAGGCAGCACTATTAATGTAGTGCTTTCATCTAACAAATGCTTTTATTGGTATGCAAAGCGCAAAGTCACCAGTATTTATTTTACTGACAGGAAATCAAAGCTAGCTAGTCAACTTTCAAAAATGGAAGAAGCTTTTTTAGTTTCCATTTTTGCAACTTATGCAATCGTATTAATGACTTTACATAGCAAGTAATTACTTTATGAGCCATGAAAAATCAGAGAATCATAGAATGTCAGGGGTTGG